TTGTGAACTCACCTCCACTTCTATGCATTCGGTTGATTGTTTCTTGAGGGTTGGCAGATATGTCTCAGTTTGGTGCAAACTCAAAGTACCAGAGCTTGTTTCTTCATTCTGAGCAGCAGAGAGGCGGAGACAGAGACACAAGTTTAGGAAAATATTCCACTGTCCTAACATATGCTTGCCACATGAGCTACAGCTGGCCTGTGAAGCCACAGGTGTGATCATGGTTGGGGGGAGTGGTAGCCACTGAAACAACATATTGAAGCTGCTCCTGGTGCCTTGAGTCATCTCAGATTATTGGACTGACAGCTCGATGGGGATGGCTTGCGGGGCATGTGGACCACAGAGTCAAAGCTCCATCGATGCACCCCTGAAGCCTGAAAGAGTGGAGCACTGCAGCCACTGCTTGCCATGATACTGAAGCACATGGAAAGTTGCCACCCTGCCATCTGTCAAACAAGGCGTTCTGGCTGTTGGTCTGTTTTCATCGAAAACAGTGCACACAGGCTGCCTTCAGTGGCGCCTTAGAGGGAGTTTTAAAAAGTCAAACATTAGCCCTTATGAGGGCGACACAGAGGGGGAAGCATTGCCTGAGGAGACTATACGATCAGGGTAAATATTATTGTGATTCACAACATTCAAAGAAACCCACAGGACTGACTGAGCAATGGTTCATTTCTGCCCCGCAGAGGACTTGTCAGAGGTGACCTGATGGATGGCAGTTTGTTTATATCCTGATGTCATTTGTTGCAGTTTTAGGAGTGGACAGTGTCTGAATAACACAGTTTACAGCCAAGATAAAATCCCTGCTTGACCCGTCTATAAATATGAACTACCTGGTTCACTAACTGAAGAACAAAATAGGCAAAAGTCAAAATTCAGCAGTCCGTGGTTTGTCTCTGTAGGTTGTAATCTAAAGGTTTTGATTTGAAGCTATGTGTCTTTGAGCAAAGACACACTGTTGAACCCAGCCAAAAGCAATGATATGGGTAGTACCTTACAAACAGCACTCCCACATTACACCAAAATGACCCCTACCGGTCAACAACATGTGTAATAACAATAAAGTCTAAAGGCCTGAATATACTCTGTATGTTCGGTACAGCACGGTATGTATGCATATTCGGACAGTTGCAGTTTATATTACTTTCTGGAGAGTGTAGCGGCCATGTGGACAGTCCATGCGATCACAACAAATTGGCGGCATGCACAGAGCCTACACGTACACACTCTGAAGACGTAAATTACATTGCAGACACGGAAAATATAATTCCCACTTATTAGTCTACAGCCATGCTAGGCTATTTTAGGCACATTGGCAATCATAACCCCCGTCTCTGTTCAAAGATGGTCCTCGGCACCGGATGTGAATGGCCTCCTTGGTTTTTTTCCAGCCGTCCTAGTTGATAACTTTGACGCATTGTTACATATGACAATCTTAGGCCAGCCAGTAGGGCTGTGTATTGGCAAGAATCTCGAGATATGATATATATCACAATACAGGGGTTACGATTCAATATATTGTAATACTGTAAGTAGGATAAGTAGGATGATATATTGCGATTTTTAAAATACCTAATTTTAGGAAAACTATCATAGTATAAAGTACACACCACCATAAAAAAAAGCTAGCAGTTGGAGGTTTAAACACAAACGTTTATATTTGTTTATTATGTGTTTTTGAGAATAAATAAAGTATCATAAAACAGACACTATGGCTGTGTAAGAATCAGACAGTACGATATGTATCACAGTACAGGGGTGACAATATAATATACTGCGAAAAAATGTAAAGTAAGCCGATATATTTATAATTTTTGGAAAATCTAATTTTAGGAAATCTGTCTAAAATTAAAAAACACACTACCATATGAATAAAATCTAGAAGTGTTCGCTATGGGTGTTTAAACACAAAAATCAATAATTCAATAAAGCATTTTCAGAATTTATACAATATCACCATACTCAAGTGTATCAATATTTTCTTACACCCCTAAGCGACAGGCGTTATGGTCTCCCCCTGTTATCGTGTGACCAAAGTCCTGCACTAAGGATGACTCCTGAGCAAGAAAACCCCTGGTAAAAGCTACATAATACATTTTTTATCACAGATATGTGAAGCCAAGACGAACAAACCTCTATGCTCACAATCCTCAAGTCTACAAAATGATTCCCTTCACCTTTGTGCAAAGGATGTGTTCTTAAAAAAAACCCTGACAACCAGCATAACTGATGTCTCACCCTGCATTACCCTAGAAATGACATATATTTCATGATATGACAGTAAGTACATTGACATGTTGACATGCTGCTGATACTGACAACACAGCTATTGACACAACAGCTCAGTATCATGTGGGCATACCAGTGCCAAGGTTATGTACCACGCTGGCACTGAGAACAAGAAGAGGACATTGAATATTTCATTGGAACACGACCTAAAGAAACCGTCACACTGTCTGTAAGCCTGTCCTTTTACTCATGCAGACTAGAATAATTCAGGAGATAGAACTCAAACTTAAACTGTAAACAAAATACTTCAAACAAAGCATTCAAATCATTCAAAACTGTTTATTTAACTGAAACGTCTTAAGCCGCCGTACTTGTTCACATGTTTTTCTCCTCGCTAATTGTCTTTCAGTCCCTTGTTCTCTCTTTTTCACCTTAATGCCTCCCCAGAAACCTCTGCCGCTGTCAAATCAGGGGATTATGAGCATATTTGAGATCACAATTAGGAGCAGTTGCGATTCTCAACGAGGCGAGCTGCCTAACCTCATTAAGCTGCTTCCACTTGAGACGGCCTGTAAGAAATGCAATTAACTCATGTTTTTTCCCCTCTCTTATGGACAGAGAGTGCAACAGGGAGGCAGACTGCTTCCATAAGCCTCAACTCTGTTATTCCCATGTTTCTGCATCAACACTGGTGAAATGCTGCCACAAAAAAGGACCTTTAATAATCTTTAAAAAGGGGCTATTTTTATTATTTTTTAATTATGACAAGGAGGACAGTTTTTCTCCCCCATTTTCCGTCTCCGGTTCAGTCTGTAAGGCTGTGTGTGCTGAGCCCCGGGGCTCGGACTGTTAAGGAGAGGGTTTAGTGTTTGCAGTGTGTTTGCATGAGCGAACAACTGACTCCCTAACACAGCAAAGTACTTATTAAATCTATTCAACTTGGATGAATGCAGTTGGTTTGTAAGATAACTTGACTCTTTCAAACTAACACTTCAAAAGAGAATTCAAAGACCCGGTGGAATCACATTTCCTCTGAGCGAGAACAGAGACTGGCAGTGTTGTAAGAAGGTGGAACCATGCTGTTGTGGAAACATTGTTGAGGTACTTCAGCAAAGCTCGGGGCCTCTGAAGCACTCTAGTATACTGTATCCAGCTATCTCTCAGCCATTGTGCCCCTCCTACCATAAGACCCCTACAGATAAGCATCACCTTTAATCCCCAATATGAGCAGTGACCTCACGACCCCACCACCTTTTTACTGCCCCTCCTCCTCCTTCCCTCTTATACATCTTGTGAAATCAGGAGGACACAAGCTGAGCACTCAGTAGCACAGAAATACAGAGAGTGAGTTTCACCATCATATCTTTATCAAACTGTTTGTGTGCAGCAGCTCTCAATCATTTCCATGTTTTTTTTTCTTCCATATGAATGTGTAACAGATACATGTTTGGGAGTGATGGTGGTGGCTTCCATGTATGTGAACTTCCTGTCCATACCCTCTATAATCACCTGACCCTGACTGAGAGTTGTGAAGTGGGAGGATTTATTTTGGTTATGTAGAGCTCAAAATGTAAAAGTTGCATTCATTGTTTGCATAGAACATGTTACTTGGAGTACTTCTGGAGGCTTGGTTGGACATAAAACTCTCCCTTTTATATCATGAGTATAGAGAAATTAGTAAATACACAAGTTAATATATTGTTCTCTAATAAAAAGTCAAAGGTACAAGACTTTTTTGATGTGAGAACAACAACTCCCAAGGCACATTTCACTAAGAAACATCCCATCAATATTACGCTTTGTAGATTAAACTGATGCATTAAGCCCTTTAAATCGTTTCACTTTCAGTTTCTGGGACAACTTTGAAAGGATTAGGCTGTATTCACACCAAATCAGGTGTTGTGGCGGAAAGTTAAAACAGAATCAGCTTTTGGAGAAACATAACCTCACATCACGCTGCGGTGGCAGAGAAAGAAAGGTGGTGGTCAAACAAGCTTAACAGAGAACGAATAAACACACCCATACCCTCGCACAGCCCTGCGAATACGGCCTTAGGTGTTTATGCAGTGCAGTGTTTTGTTCCCAGTTGCAACTACAAAGCATTTTGAATTTCCAAAGCTTTGTTTTGTTCCTCTGACTGGCTTTTTCTCCATAGCAACATGGGTAGTCATTTAATTCAATGTTAATATGAAATATTTATTACAACTTCAACATAACAACTCCATCTATGCCTTTACTGGCACATGGTGTGTAAGGCACCTGACTTCCCCCAATATTCATGAATTTAATTGATCAGTGATGCGTCTGGAAGATGCGCCTACAAGAGATCAGCCATGCTTGTAAGTGGCCTTAAAATAAGAGAAGTAAATTGAAATTATGGTCAAATTATTTTAACAACCTGATGAAGCTCTACACAACACCTTAACTGAAGTAGCGTAAGGGAAGTAGCTTTCACTACCAGTAAAGATTGTTTGTGTAGACTGTCTGTTGTACAGTTCACTCCCCGGGACAATAGCTGCTAGGCACACAAAAAATATAAATACTGAATAAATTAGGAGAACTGTAAACACCTGATGAGTTTAGTTCAACCTCAAACTGTTTTGATGGATACAAATTGCCTTAAACCATGAGGCTGTGGCCTCCAGAGGCAGAGCGGGTCGTCCCCCAATAGGAAGTTCGATCCCCGGCTCCTCCTGTCACACGTCGTTGAGCAAGATATTGAACTCCAAATTGCTCCCGATGCTGTGCATCAGTGTGTGAACGTGTATGAACGAGTTAGTTTCTGTTCGATGAACTTTGCCATCACTGAGTGAATGTGTGTGAAAGTGCATTGAGTGGTCGGAAGACTAGGAAACCGCTATACAAGTACAGG